ATCTATGATTGACTTTGATTTCTTCCTATAAAAGATTGCTATTAGTTTTAGAACCAACTTTGATGGTTTGTTAGTCATAAACACTTCAGCACTCTTAAAGTCTCTTTCTTTTCATAGAGCTCAATCTAGTAAGAATCCATGAGCTTTTGTACCTCTAAGTGAAACTGTTCACAGGTTTAGTGAAGTGACCAAGAGTCCTACCGTGGAATTTGCATATCTTATCTGGCACACATTTTTTATGATAAATATATGGATCCACCAATTGTATCATGTCAGCTTAATATAAGGCATCAAACAGCTAACTAAGAGGAATCTTAACTTCTTTCACATTTTTTTACATGACACTTTCGATCCTTACTTAAAGTATTGACATTATGATTGAGCAATAGATTGCCACTAACATTAGGTACTGTTACCCAATTATGTCAAAATTGATCATCCCATTTTTAATCAGTCATTACACTTTAGGCTTCAGAGTGGTGCAATTCTTAGTAGAATTATCAGCATTCTCATAGTAATAATCATAATGAGTTGTAGAATTACACCACTGGCGATAAAAGATTTGAGTGGTTCCAGATGGACAGGGGAGATTAGTTAGTTATTATAGAGCTCACGATACAGCTCTATATAGATCATAAGGATAAGGTCAAAGGTAGGCTTTTGTTGATTATTTTATGGCTCTCGTGAACCACTTATTAGGATAGTATATGATAACATAAGTTATTATACACTTTGTACTTTCATACTTCTCAAACTTTAAAACTTTGAATTTTAGAGGAATAACAATATCTTGGACTCAACAATGTCCAATAGCATCCATTAAACCATAGAAACTTATTTCCTTCACTGCTCACAACATTTCCTCGAGCATGTTCATCTTTTGGTTAGCTTTTGAGTCCTATCTTTAATTTTTCCTTTTTCTTAGAATTGTTCAAATTAAAGATTTAGAGTGGCTCTACTATTTTTTTGGTAAAGATAGGGTTCACAGAGCTTTGGTAATGCCTTAAATTTGATGTGGATGGCATCCCTGAATAAGTATACCCTACAAGGTGTGTAAATTACTATGAGGGTGCCTTGTGTGGACTGAGCCTGATATGGGTCATAGTCAAGAGGATAAAGTGGACCAATCTTTTTTGTTCTAGGTGCAATTGGTCGTCTGACTGAATCTATTCTATTTTAAGAGGAGTCTCAAACTTGACTTAGGTATCTTTAAAAGATAGATTCATGTCTACGAAACCAAAACTAAGTTCCAAAATTTAGTAATGTGTGAAGAAGGTTATAACACCCTTACATTGCCTACCAAAAAAATGGTACTAGCTTGATTTCGTATTATCCAAAAGCCTAAAAAACTTATCAAATAATTTAATATTAAAAATTATCCTTAAATTATTCCAATATGTTGGTAATAATTTAAGAATATTCTTTCATCTCAAGAGTAATCAAGGGAGACTATTTATTACGCTTTGAAGAGACTTCATCGTCAGATTCATTATCATTTATTTTAAAAAAAATTGATGTGATAATCAATGAGATTCAGAATCCTGATATTGAAAATTCCTATTTAAATTTTCTAATATATTGGTAAAATATAAAAAATATTTCTCACCTAGGAATTTACATAAAGATCGCTATTTGCAACACTCCTAGTGATTTTATCATTGGAGATTCAAAATCTAACTTTGTAAAAAAATTCTTTATTTTCATAAATATCCTTTAATATGTTGGAGGATTTTATGAAAATTACTTCTTTTCTAAAAATTAATCTTTATTTAAAAATCATAAGGTTTTCCAACATGTTGGTAAAACCTTATTGAAAACTATTTTTTTCTTAAAATTTGTTTTTTATAAAAAAAAAGCTAATAAGGTTCTCCAATATGTTAGTAAAACTTTATTTTGAAAATCAAAATTGCCATCCAATATGTTGTTAAAGTTTTTTATTTTATTAAAATAATTTATGAAAATTTTGAATCTTCCAATATGTTGGTAAAATTCTTTTTATTTAAACATTTATTTTTTAGAAGATTTGAACCTTCCAATATATTGGTAAGGTTCTTTTTATTTTATTTAAAAAATATTTTCTTTCCCTTTTTTTTTTTTTAAATATGTTTACAAATAAATGAATAACAAATAAATAAAGAACAAATAAATAAATTAAATGGAAAACAAATAAATAGATAAATAAATTACTAAACATAAATAAAATCAATAGGAAAAAATAAAAAAATAAAAAAACTAGCAAAACAGCTCAACTTAAAGGCTTAAAAAATGAGGCTTAAGGCATAGAAAAGCAGCTTGGATGGCTCAAGCATTGGCTCGGCTTGACTGAAGCTAAGGGATTGGAACCTAATCGTGCATTGTGGGCCTGTTTGGCTCGTGAATCTTTCTCAAGTTAATACACGGATCTTGAATCCTTTTAACGCAAAACGACATCGTTTTATAATGATATAAAAGCAAAAAATATATATATTTTTTTAGATTTTCTTTTTCTGTTCTCTCTCTTTCTTTTTTTCTCTATCTTTCTCTTTCTAGAATCGAATGAACTCCAGTTGAATGTCTGTCGATTTTTGAAAATATTCCATCAGAAAATGGGAAATCATGCTAGAAAGTCATTGAAAAATGTAAATATCATTGGAAAACTCAACCAATTTTTAGAATTTCTAGAAAATACCCAAAAATTTGCCCAAAACAAAACTCTAATTTAATCTTCTTAGTTTCTAGGTTCCTCCAAAATCAAACTAAAACTTCCAAAATTCCTAAAAAAAATTCATAACAAAAACTTTTATATTTTCTTTTTGAATTCTTCACTTGGATTGCTACCTATTCTCTCCAATTGTTCTTTGATTTTCTTCTACTGATTCCTATTTGTTTTTACCATGTTTATATCCTCCTTTGTTGCTATGCCTAATTTTTTTTTATTGATTTTAATGGGTCTTTTTATAGGCTTTTAATCCCAATTACAATAGGAAAATGAGTTTTCTTGGTTTGAATCTCTTAATCAACTTCAATATTAGATTTTTAATCCAAATTCACCTCTCAAACTAATTCTCTTTTGTAGTCCTTTTTTAATTAAAACACCTTCAATTGAACAACCCAATTAGAGTTAAGCACTCTTTAAGTTTCAACAAAATAATTCTTCCCTCCTCCCTTTTTTTTCTTAATTTAACAAAAAACCCAAGCCAAACAATAAATTATATTGTAGAATTAACCCCAGACAAAATATGATGTTTACAATATTAGTAGTATAATGAGCTTTCTGATGATTTAGCTCAACATGAGCAACTCTGATCTCCGCCTGGCAAATTTGAGTAGAGAGACCAGCGAAAGATCGACTTCTGCTTGTTAAGATCAAGACCAGCAAAACAGTCTAAACTTGTTGCCCCAACTTGAATCTTGGGGGTAAATGGTCTACCCTCCAATGAGCCTGACAAGGTTGGATGATTATGCACAATGGCATTGAGGGTGGCTGTTTTGGGAGGCTGAAGCAAAGCTAGAGGAAGGGTATCAAGGTTTTATGCCCAGCAAGCAAAGGTTTTGCTTGCCTTTAATTATTGCTGAATGAGTGTGTATCCAAGAGCTGTAGTGCAACTGGTGGGTGAATATTATATAGCCAATATAAAAAATGTAAGGAGTAATTGGGAAGGGCATAAAAGTAGACACAATAATTTAAAACAAGATACCATGATAAAATATAAAAATATCCAAATATATATATAAATGTGGTATGATTTAAAATTTTATAAAAATACCTGATATAAGTTTAATAAAAATCAAAATATATATTTTATATTTTTTATGTCAACATGAATTGTGTCATATAATTTTTATATAAAATACGATACACATACACAAATGATAAGATCTACCTAAAAAAAGGAGGTCCAGCCAACAAAAACAATTTATCATTGTGTTTCCAAACTAATGGCTTAGTTAGAAAGCACAACTTGCATCTTGATAATTATAACAGGAAGAATATTATGATTTTCATTAGCATGTGGGAAAGACAAGTAGTTGTGGGGAGCGTGGGTAACCTCAGCCTGAAAAGTTGTGTTGGTTTTCAAACAAATAATTCGTAGAATGCCAGATAAAACCGACAACATCACCTATTGAAAAAGTTGCAGATAACAGCAGTTGTCTGATAATATTTCGCACCACAGGATACACTGCTAGTCTGGTACTGCTGCCCCAAAAAAAGCAGGTAACTGGGTGTTTAAGGAGACTGAGGCTTATTGCATAAAATGGGATAAATGAAGAACTCTATAGAATGCCTTGCTCTGCCAAAATTTGCCTTAAATATAGAGCTTTTTTCACTGAACTGGGGCATATAACCCTTTTCTTTTTGCCTGCATGTTCTAAATGGTTTAACATGTTTTCATGGAACAATATGGCAAACATGATTACCATATGAATGCTTGTATGAACATGTCATGCGATTGTGGAACATGTCATGCTTGTATATAAAATCCAGATTGGAATCGCAATCCCAACATACTATAAAAGCAAGCTGTAAGTAATGATGCTTGTTTGTCCATATCCATCCCATTTGTGGAAAAAATAAGCATAGTTTCCTTCTAGTACATTACTCCAAACATTCACCACTTATTAACATGGAGGAAGAATCCAAATTGCCAAAAAAATAAATTCAAAACTAGCAGCTAGATTCTTTGAAGAATGAAATTATTAAGAGATCTCCTAGCCATTATCCAATGTGAGGTTATTTTGCTGGTTTTTGCTCTACTAGTATCTACATCCCTAGTAAAGGATTTGCAGGTGGAAGTAATTAGTGATATCAAGTCATGGATGGAAAGATGGAGACATTTTGGCATACCATCCATGATTACTATTTAGAGTTACTCTCGAAAGTGCTTCCCCACTAACTACACAGTGCTTTTTTTCTGAGATGAAGGAGAACAAATGGGAAGCTTCTCTCTCTTCTGAATTTGTCTATAAATTTGGGCATGCATGTCTCAACTTATGCCACAACTAAGAGAAAAAAGGCATATATGGAGAATTCTTATGAGATTCCTAATAAATCTAAGGATGTTTCTCTTAAAGAGCTTAGAGACAGGCTCGCAGAGTTTGCTGAATTGAGAGGATGGGAAAAGTACCATAGTCCAAGGAATCTCCTACTAGCACTAGTAAGTCCATCAAGCCTTCTATATTTCCAAATTTTTTGGTCTTTCATTTTTAGCAATACCATTTGAATAGTTTTTGGTAGGGGTCTGTTTATCAAACGTTTTATTCATTTACACTTCTGGCATGTTTTAGGAAACTTTTACCTTTGTTAATAATGCAGGTGGGAGAAGTCGGGGAGCTGTCAGAGATATTCCAATGGAAAGGAGAAGTTGCAAAAGGACTGCCCAACTGGACTGCTGATGACAAGGAACATTTAGAAGAGGAGCTCTCAGATGTTTTACTTTATCTTGTCCAACTTGCTGATGTTTGTGGGCTTGATCTTGGCCAAGCAGCACTAACTAAAATAATCAAGAACGCTCGCAAATACCCAATTGTGAATCAGAAAACAAAATCTACCTACAACTAAGTATCGCTTTCTCGAACAGCCTTGTAGTTCTTTTTTCAGCTTTTCCATTTCCTTTCTTTGGGGGAAGCTAGTGCATGGCCGTAGTTCAGTGACTTAAGTCCATTTTCATAGTTGGATTCAGTTGTTGGTACGTTTTTTTTTTATATATTTAGAGAGCAGAAGGTTAAACCTTCATACCTATGCCTACCGGATATGTGTCGAATACGAATATTTTATGTAAAATGGGAGCAACTAATTGGCATGAGAGTGGAGTTCCATGGACATATCGTGTGAAGCTAGCAGAAGAGTCTAATGAAAGTAAATCTGTTTCTTTTCTTCTTCGTTTTCTGTTATCTAAAGACTTGGGTAGAACCTTTTAAGGTGGCCAGGTTGGATTCAATGAGCCATGATGAACCAAAACAGGCCTGCAGGCACGGAACTAATACTAGCCATCCATGCTTGATCATCAGGTTTCAAGCCTATGTAGGTGGATGAGGTTCAACTTTTAACGTTGTCAATTGTCTTATCATTTGGTTTATTAATTCTAACCATTGAGATTAAACTTTAAATAATTTGTAATCAATATTTCTCCAACCTGACTAAGTATTCTATCATATCCTATCCTTTATGGGCACTAACACGCTTATGATTAACACGTCTAATCTATGATTGGGTTGGAAAGTTGGTGGCTTTGCCTAGCTATTTGATTGCTTTAAGTTGGGTTTTTTTTTTTTTTGTTTTTTTCCATGTCAGAACTCATTATTAGATTTTGATTAGACAGTGGGAGTGGGAGATAATCTTTTTATATATATTTGACATTAGACATATTTATGGGTCAGGTTATTCAGTAAGCTCTTGGATTTTGTTTGATTTGCCTCGGGCATTAAACAAGAATTTTTAAGTTCAAGTCCACTTGAGTTATTAGTTTATTAAAAAACAATTTATTTAAATTTAATATGAAATATATTGCAAATATTAATATATTAAATAATATTTTTCGTATTATTTTGAATAATATCAAATCCATTCGAACTTAAATGAAATGATTGGACAAATTTTAAAAGTGATAACTGGATCTGACTCGATCGACTTAATCAATGAATACATTTGTTTCACGTACTTGCTCGCTTTCTAAAATTCTAACCTTAAATGGATATGAATCTCATAAAGTAGTCCACTTGAGTCACTGTGCAAAGGCGCAAAGATGATAGATATGATCTTTCTTTATGCAGGAAGCCATTTGCCGTATAGCATTGCCTGGAATTGCTTTTTCAGGAGCCAATGGGTTTGGGTGAGTGGCTACTTGGTGGCAGCATGCAGCAGCAGCGTGGCTCAGGGTCAGGGGAAACGTTTGAAGATGATTTTTGCTCTAAAAACAGTTAAACTCAGTTGTGTTATTTGTTTTGCTAACGTCATCGTAATCGTCCTTGAGATTATTTCTAGTGACGATCATAACTTTTGCCGACAATAGTGTAGAGTTTATTCATAAAACGATGAATTTGAACAACAATAATAATAATAATATAAAAAATGAAACTGAAAAGGAAAATTATTCTTATTTTTAAATATATTATGAAAAAAGAGATGAAATAGTAAATGTTGAGTTTTAAACCTAAACTTATTAAATGTCAATTCTTTAAGGATGATTATATAAATTAATTTATCTATAACTTATTTAAATTAAAATAATATTTTTAAAATTTAATAATTTTAATCCTAAAATCTAAAAAACATGTAAAAATTATAATAATATAAGTGAATTACTCCTTTTATATATATATATTTGAAGTTGAAGTACAAGCAAAAAATATAAATAAAAATTTGAAAGGTGTAAATTTTGCACTTGTGACTTTTATCAGATTTGGATATGCTATTTTGGGGTTAAAATAGGTTTAAGTTTGAGTTACAAATTAGTAGGAACATCAAAAAGAAATGATACAAAATGACGTGTAATACACTATATGAGCAAGCATCAAGGTAAACATCAAGTTAGATTTGGTAATTTGTATCATCATATCTAACAAGAATAATAATGTGTCTTAATTATGTTAATATGATTAAGATATGAAACATAATTATACTAAATCTATACATAGATATTTTTTGTGTTATTTTCATATTATATCATCGTGTGGTGTGCAAAATTACCAGATCTATATCAAGTCATTTCATGGTAAAAAAATGATTTAAGTTCATAAGGAAATTACTCAATACTCGCTCCATCTTAAATTATTTTTTCAATGATTTTTATAGAAAAATATTTTTATTTTGGTGTATATGATATTAATTTTTTATTTTTTTTATAAATTTGATGTTACATAATTTTTAATACCAAAAAATTAAAAAAATTATGAAAATTAATTTTTTATAATTTTATTAAAAAAACTAAATAAAAAATATTATAAATGCAAAAAAAAAAAATCACATATTATGGGTTTACATTTAGTAAGTCTTTTCAATAATTTACTTATCTAAAAGAAGTCTAGCACTATATATATATATATATATATATATATATATATATATTTATATTTGTACTTACTCAAGCACTAATTATTAGTTGGTTTAGTTGGAAACATTAATGATGATTAATTGATGAATAAAGCAACTTAAGTTGTAAAGCTTAGTAATCATCATTCTTGACTCAAAAGAGGTTTGTTCAAGGCTTTAAAGCATTAGCTGAGTCAATCTGAGTAATTACTTCATTATGGCTTTGCTTTTTTTATAAAGGAAGTAATAATTTTAGAGATAAAAAAAATGTTGTAGAAATGTAAACTAATTGAATATAAATAAATTTTATTATATTTATAATTTTTATTTAATTAAAAAATATTAAATTATTTTTCGTAATTATTTATTAAATTTCATAAATGAATAAAAATCAAATATGTGCATGAACATTTGTTGAATGCTCTCTTCATTGATATTTTTATGTTTGAAACAAATGAATAAATTTTGTTATATTTATTATCTTTTGGTTTAATTAATGAATTTTAAAATATTATCCATAATCGCTTGTTAAGTGTAATAAACAAATATAAACAAATAAAAATTAAACTATTAGTTGAACATTTTATTTGTTGAGACCTTTAAATAAGTATTGAGATTTATGTTATGTTTGGATAAATATTAATAAAAGAAAGGAAATGAAAGTTTTTTAAAAGAAAGGAAAGGATATATGTATCTCTTCTTTGGATAGTTAAAATTTATTAAAGGAAAGAAAAAGAAAAAAATTCTAACAACTATTGTTTTGATAAATAATGAAAAGGAAAAAAATAATTCATTATAATATTTTTCTAATTATAACCTTTTTTTATAGACAAATATATCTTTTTATTACTTAGCTTGTATAAACAAATCTTTCTAAAAAAAATTGAGCATATTTAATATAGTTAGATGTATTAGCTAGTTATTGATTTACTCGTAATTTTATGTTTAATTCAATTTTTTAATTTATTCTGACAATAATTTGACTTATTTTGTTGTTAAAACTTAAGAAATCATAAAATATTTATAAACTGTGATATTATATAAAATACTCATAAAAAAATTACTTTTGTAGGAAGTGTCAGTTATATAATCAAATCTAATATCATAATAAAAATATAGATATAATAGTCTTTTATAAAAATAAATTTTTTCAACTTTTATTTCTTTAGCTTTTCCCTCAAATTGAGATATTAAAAAAATAAAAATTACAAGAAAAACCAAAGGTTATTGAGTTTCTACCTCTTTCCTTTCCTTTAAATTAAAAATTTATCTAAACAAAGGAATGGTTTTTTTGTTTCCATTACTTTCCTTTATTTTCCTTTCTTTTCCTTCCCCTCGCTTCAATCCAAACATAGTGGTAAATTTTAAATCTATTAAATGACATCTTAAAAAAATTTCATTGCCCCGAATTTCATGGTGTCATTACTTTGACACTAATTTCTTAACTTGTCCTACCCAAGTCCAATTCTGAGAATCATGCATGCACAAGCAAATATGCAACAATAATCAATTGATTTATTTTAACTAATTTTATTTTAAAATTTTAAAATAAAATAATCCACTAATAATTAATAGACGAAAAAACATTGAGATTACTTTTGAACACCAACAATAATTAATTACAATCTCACCATTATAGTAACCAATCTCTTCCATATAGTAATAAATCTCACTTTCATCATTGTTTTCAATATCATCGAAACCAATCTCACTATTCATTCAAATAAACCCTAAAACCTTCTCTTATTTCATTGGAGTTGTTTCCCAAGTGCTTCCATGATGCATTTAACATAACCTTTCAAGCAAAAACCATCCCCACCAGAATCACGTTTGAATCTGAATAGGGTTTAAAACTAGGAATATGCCCGAGAATGTGGGGTTGAGTTTTTAGCATTTATATAAAATTATTTTTATTTGTTTTTAAATAAATATGAGGATAATTTCAATTTACACACAAACTAAAATTATAAATGTATGTACCATAAATAAAATTATTGATTTTAAAATTAGATGTAAAATACAAAAATAATATCATAAATCCTTCATAGAAATTTTTAATAAAAAATTTGTAAACTATACTAAATTCTAAAACTATAGAATTGAATTTGGAGTTTAACTTAGTTTATTTAGCCACTCTTTAAAAATAGCATCTAGTTTAAAATTTAAATTTTAGCACTTGTAATTTTTTTTCTCCTAAATTACAATTTATGTGTAAAAAGGCTTTTATCTCGAGCTATGATTTTCTATATAAAAATCTATAAAAATAATTTCCTTGAAGGTTTTATTTTAAAAGTCAAAATAATGCACATTTGACCTATCATCAACAAATTTGGAACTATCAAATTACAAATAGATAGTGTAAAAGAAAAAATAATTAAAAAAAGGTTGACTAGGCCAATATGGCCCCTATGTGCCCAAGAATTTGATTATGGGCTTTGTCGAGATGTCTTGCTTGTAACGCAACAAACAAATCTCAAATTTTCAAAACAATAATGAATCTATACTTACTATAATAGTTGTCCCCAATACATAATAGAGGGGATAGCTAAGCAATGTAATAGAAAAAAAATTGAAGGGTAATTGTTGGAAAAAATTTTCTCTAGAAGCTTTTCCGTTAAAGGTTAGATTTCATCTCTTTATAGCCTCCAATGGTGCTTCTACTATAAGTCTATTATTTTCGTTCTTTTCTTCTTCCATTTTATAGTAATTAGTATTGATTCTTTCTTTCTTTTTTCTTTTAATTTTTGTATTTAATTTTGAAAATAAAAGAGTTAGGGCTACAATGAAGAATAGTTTGGAAAATATCAAACAGCAGTTGGCTTCTAGCTTTGGTAGTAACTTGCTCCAAGATTCACTTTTCAAGCTATCTGAGACCATACAAACCTCTAAATTTATTATTATAATTCTAGCTAAATTTTATTTTGCTATCAATTATAGCTTTCATCAATTTGTAATTTCT